TCGTTTGTCTCCTCACAAAAGGAGCCCAAAAAGCCCCGGGAAGCCTCAGCTGGAGGCCACGTGGGGCGTTCAACCAGCTGGACCGTCTGGAATCACACACATCGCACTGCAAGGGAGGAAATGTTCACACCCAGCTCATTAGGAAGGGGTTGATCTCAGTTATAGGGGCAGCAATAAAGGCAGGGAGAAGCATCTGAAATTTCCCCTCATGTTAAACACAGGGCTAGGAGATTTGGGATGTAAAAAACCAGGATTTTCTACCAAACACAGGAGGCTCAAACGAACACCCAGAGGGTCCTGTGCCCCTTCACACACCACAGGACAAACAGGGGAGGTTGCTGATGACAGGCTTTCCTATTTTATTGCACTCAACCAGAGCAGCCCCACAGAGGTGCTCACAACGCTCCTCAGTGTTTTCCCAAGAGATATAAAAGCCTGTTTCTCCAGAGGGATGCCCAGAAGCAACAATCCTGGTCTGAGGTGCTTCCAGGAGCCTGGAATACCCACCTAGTGCTGCCCTTTTATGGGCTGGGTACAAGAGACCCTCCAAGTGTGACCCAGCAGCACTGAAAACAGCAGCCCCTGTCCCCAAGGACACTTGCTGGCACATGGAAATGGAGCCTGAATCCAGAATTGCCACCAGCAGAGCAGGAGAGATCCCAGTTCCACCCTGCTGGATCTCCAGAGGGTTCATGGTTGGGAAGTACAATTTAATCTGTGCCTGCCACGAAGGAGAGAAGCCAAAGCCCTTTGCAAATAAAATATCCTATTTTATCCTATCCTATTTGCCAGGGAGCTAATTAAGGCAAAGAGGACACAATAATTCAATACACAGTAACTGGAAAAACCAAATAAACAACAAAACCAAACAAAGAGCAGACAACAAACAACCACCTCTCTCAAAAAAAAAAAACAAACAACCAACTGGACAAACAAAAAAAAACTCCCACAAAAACCACTCAAACCCAGACAGTCAATAAAAGTGTCTTCTTCTGTTTGCTGGATAGCTAAAAGAAAAAATCATCACTGCCATTTCCTTCTGCAAAGAATATCTCCTCGCCCTCTCTCTCCCAGGGGTGACTTCCCAGGTGTGATATTTGCTGGGTACAAACAACAGGAGGTCAGAAGCAATAAAAAAAACTCCAAGCCAAAAGCAGTTGATGGATTTAACTTGGTGTGCATTCAATAAACTCATGGACAGCTCCCACGTGGACACTGATCCTGCCACGTGTGGGCAGGGATTTTCAAAAGATGGGCTCTCCCCCAGGAGAAAAAGAGATGTTCTGGTGTTGGAACAACCTCCAGCTGTTCACTGGGGGTGAACCACAAAGAGCACTGTTTATACCCTGCAATTAGCTGTGTGTAAACTCATTTAATTGCTGGCAATCCATCAGCGGGCTCGTGGTACCCAGGAGCTGCCTGGGAAGGTGGAACCTGAACTTTAGATCTTTCCACAGCACACGTGGCAGCTCCAAGGCAAAGCTTCTTTCCCCCCTGAAGTTTGTGTTCAGGGTGACAGAACCCTGGCAAGGTGATGGATTCCCCATCCCAAGGCCAGGTTGGACGGGGCTTGGAGCAACCTGGGATGGAAGGAAGGGGTGGAATGGGATCATCTTTAAGATCCCTTCCAACCCAAACCATTCTCTGCTTCCATGCACTGACCTCAAAATATCTCCCTTGGTTGAATATGTGATGACCAAGCTGTGATTTGACCAGAAATTCCTTCCTCACACCAGCTACAGGGACTGGAATGGTCTGAATCCCAGCAAGGCCATTCCTTCTCCTTTACATGCCTTCCATTTAAAAAAGCATTACAAATTGAAAAAGAAAAAAGTGAAAGGGGATCTTGCCCTTAAAGCTGAAGGCCCACAATAGAAAAAAAAAAAAGGAATTTTGCAGATGTTCAAAATTTAAAAAGGAGACCGAGTGTGCTGGTTGTGTGCCTTCAGCCCCCCCCTTCCATTCTCAGAGGAAAGCAAGAGATAATGACAATTCCAGCAAGCAGTGCCCCAAAAAAAACTTCCAGCTCAAGCTCACAATTCAAATTCTCATTTTTCATGCCAACTTTTCATGTGTAGTAGAAAGCCTGGTGTGCACACACTGCAGGGAAACGGAGAGGGACCATTAAAATTCTGCTGGTGAGCAGCAGAACAACTCAGAAAACAAACATCCAAGGCAGAAGAGATCACAGAGGCAACGTTGGGTCGTGACCCAGATTTAGGTGAAAGCCTCCTGTTGTGGGGAGTTTGGTGTTTTACCAAGCAAGCAGAGAACCACGCTGGAGTTCACACTGAAAAAAGCCCCTCTTTGAATACCTGACTTGCTTTCTGATTATTAAAAAGTAGAAACACGACTTGGACATAGCCTAATTGCCCTGTTTTCCCCCCTCCAAATAACATCTGCAGGGCACTTTATTGGCATCCAGTGGAAACAAATTCTTCACCCTTTGGTTCTGCCCAGCCTGCAGCTCATTTTAGACTTCTTTCTCTTACTCCTGCAATACTTGTTATCTCCATCTCTCTTAAAAGAGGGAGTTGATGCCTCATGTAGACCTTAAAAAGCCCAGTTCTGAGACTGGACATATTTAAGCCTAGATTAGGTGCCTTTAAACACAACTAATTCCTTTCCAGCACTGGAAAAAAACACAATTGGAATTCCAAGTGGAACTGGAAGGCTGCCACTGATATTTTTTGGTAAAGCAAGCAGAGCCAGATTTCACTGAAAAATTCAGTCCACAGCAATTTTTTCCTCTGGATTTTTAGCTAAGAAATGGAATGTTCTGGTTCATCAGGCAGAAGGAAAAAGGCATTTTTAGTATTTAAGTTAGTGCATCTCCAGCTGCCAAGACATTGTGTCCCACTGTTTTCCTGACAGAGCCTTCCAAAGCCACCTACACCCTCTGCCACGGATGTGCCCAGGAATTTGCTCCCAGCAATGGTCCCTCAGGCTGAGCTGGCCAGGCTGAAAGGGAGGGAAAAAACAGCACCAATATTCCCACTTTGCCAAAGGAAATTTGTTCAGGGCTGCACAAACAGCAGCCCTGACTCTCCAATTCCCACGGGAGCTCCTGGCCGAGCTGCTCCACCAACAATCCACGTAATTCACAACCAGGAGCATTTCTGGCACAGGATCTGCCACAGCCAGACGTGTCTGTGCCTCAACAGCTTCTTTTCCAGAGGGAAAGTGCTCCAAGAGCCAGGAAGATCCCTGGTTACAGATTTAAAAGCAGAACAGAGGAGCCAACTGACACCAGAGCAACGTGAAGCACTCAAAAGGCAAGCAAAGGATCTCCTGGGAGCACTGCCAGCAGAAACAAGATTTAAATTTGGGGGTTTTCTCTCCTTTAAGTAGTAAGAACATTAAAAAAAGGAAACAACCTAGAAAACATGAGAGCCCAGAAAGATAGTAACACACAACCATTTCCCAGGAGATGGAAAAGGGTGGCTTTGACAGCAGTGTTTTCACACTTATCCCATAAACACAGCAGGGCTCCCAAGGCCTCATCCCACAGCCCTCAACAACAGGGAGAGTGCAGTGAAGCCCTGCTTCCCAAATTCCCTCTGCCACAGCTCTGGAAAACTGCATTCCCAGGCCAGGCAAGAGTCACCTCTGACACTGCCACATTCACCCCCAGCCAGTTCTCACCTCCTGCTGCCTTCCATAGGATCCCACAATGGTTTAGGTTGGAAGGGACTTTAAAGCTCATCTTGTTGCTCCCCTGCCACGGGCAGGGACACCTTCCCTGCTCAGAGCTCCATCCAACCTGGCCTTGGACACTTCCAGGGATGGGGCAGCCACAGCTTCTCTGGGCAGCCAGTTCCCCCTACCTCCAAATTATCTTCCCATGCAAGAACAGAACCAGGGAATCATAAAGGCTGGAAAAGACCTCCACGGTCATCAAGTCCACCCTTGGACCGAGTGCCACTGAGTGTGTGGAGGCAGAGATGATGCAGAAACACAGGTCCTACAGCCCCACCCAGCCGAGGATGCTGTAAAGCACACCAGGGAGACAGAGCAAGGAGGAAACGTGGGAAATAGGGATGGATTCGGCCACAGCGAGGAGGAAACGTGGGAAATGGGGATGGATTTGGCCACAGCGAGGAGGAAAGGTGGGAAATAGGGATGGATTCGGCCACAGCGAGGAGGAAACGTGGGAAATAGGGATGGATTCGGCCACAGCGAGGAGGAAACGTGGGAAATGCGGATGGGTTTGGCCACAGCAAGGAGGAAAGGTGGGAAATAGGGATGGATTTGGCCACAGCAAGGAGGAAACGTGGGAAATAGGGATGGATTCGGCCACAGCGAGGAGGAAACGTGGGAAATAGGGATGGATTTGGCCACAGCGAGGAGGAAACATGGGGAATAGGGATGGATTCGGCCACAGCAAGGAGGAAAGGTGGGAAATAGGGATGGATTCGGCCACGGCAAGGAGGAAACACGGGAATTACGGATGGGTTTGGCCACAGCAAGGAGGAAAGGTGGGAAATAGGGATGGATTTGGCCACAGCAAGGAGGTAACGTGGGAAATAGGGATGGATTTGGCCACAGCGAGGAGGAAACACGGGAAATACAGATGGATTTGGCCACAGCGAGGAGGAAACGTGGGAAATAGGGATGGATTCGGCCACAGCAAGGAGGAAACGTGGGAAATGCGGATGGATTCGGCCACAGCAAGGAGGAAACGTGGGAAATGCGGATGGGTTTGGCCACAGCAAGGAGGAAACACGGGAAATAGGGATGGATTTGGCCACAGCGAGGAGGAAACGTGGGAAATAGGGATGGATTTGGCCACAGCACTCAACCCCTTTGAGCAGCAGGACCATCTCACGGGGTCCATGGGGCAGAATCACAGACCCCCAGCCACGAGGCCAGTGAATCCCATCATCTATCCAAGCCCATCAATAAACAAACAAACAAAAAAAAAATTAACATCCAGCACTTTCAAGCAAGATCTCCAAAGCCAGCATCGGTGGGAAGGGGGGACAGGGCCCAGCACCCACCTTGGTGGTGTCATCATGTGACCGCTGGTACCGTTTCCAGCGGCAGCCGTAGATCCCGGTCAGACAGGACAGACATAGCTGGGGCTCGTAGTACTGCAGGGGTTGGTGTTTGACCATGCTCCTTCCAGCCCCTCCGGAGCCAGCTCTCACCACTCCATCAGGTCCTGGGAGCGCCCTTCGGCAGGAAGGAAAAACAAAAATCCGTTAAAAAAGAAAAAAAGGGAATTAAACCCCCCGAGCGATATTTCACTACATGTAATGGAGAGAGAGATCCAGCTACAACTCCAGCTATGACTGCTGCATTGAAGAAGGGAGACACTGCTGCCCTGAACACGGAAAGGATCTTTCCTTCTTCCCTTCTGGACTTTTATTGGAGGGAAAAGAGATTTGATCCAATGTAAATACTGCTTTATCATAGGAGAGATAGTTAGGATTGCGTATATAATGTATTATAATATTTATCTGTGTAATAATTGTAATGCAATTCCCTTCCCCCCATATTGAGTCTTGTGTTGTGTCTGGAAAACCACCCTCACACTGGGGTGAGTTGTGGGAGGGGGGCTTGGACTTGGGAATTGGATTTTTGGGGGTTTCAAACCACGACACTACATTAACAAGCAATTCAATAATTAACCACGTCCTCTGGCCACGGAGAGAGGGGGGATGAGAATCAGAGCTATTCTCAGCCCTGCCAACATCTCCCAGTCCTTACTTAACGAGACTGAAAAGTTTAATTAGTCTGCAGGTTTTATTTCCTTGAGCAGCTTCTCCCACACCACTAAAAGCCAATGGATTCGTCGGAGTTAGCAGGAAGAAGAGCCACAGGAGGACAAAAGGAGTGGGCTGGTTGTTTGCAGCCCCAGTGATGAGGGTTTTATGAATGACTGAAATGTAAAGAACCGTCGCCTCTGCAAGAACAACCTTAAAAATCGATCCAGAGGCCTCCTCAGAGCTGAAACCCAGCCAAGACAAAGCAGGTTATCTTCAGCATCCTACAGAGCCTCTAAACAGCCCCCCCAGACAAGGAACAAAAGCTTCCAGAGGCACATTACGGAATCACAGACTATCCTGAGCTGGAAGGGACCCAATGAGGATCCTCAAAGTCCAGCTCCTGGCCAACCCCAAGAATACAGTGTGTGTATATAAATATATAAATATATAATATCCAGCTCCCTTTATACACCTCTCAAGCACTCCTGGGAGGCAGAGCTGGATGCAGCCTTCACCCAGCTCCCCTTCCCACCAAGCAGCACCCAAAGGATCAGACTGACTCATGGGAACATCAGTGTTTGGAGGGAAAGTTCTCCGCTCCATCCATCCCGTGCTCCCTGCGTCACAGGGGTTTTTTTTGTGTATATATCTTTAGATGTTCTCTTGTCTCTGGTGAGATTCATATCGGGGACAGACCAAACAATCACGTTCTCTTACTAATTCCTAGAGTTGCTGCTCAGGGGTGGGAAGCTCAGAGCCGTTATTTGCCGGTCTGGTGGCGTCACTCTGGGCTCAACTCCCACCCAGGGGTTTTCCACGGGTTCCTGGGGCACCAAGCCCACACCCACAGCCCCACGAGCTGCTGCTCTAGGGAGTGATGTTCAGCAGCAGCTGAGCTTGCAAAGAGCCTGCCTGCCTTTCCAGAGTGTGCAGAGACGAGTGTGGGCAGCAAATCACACCCTGTCTAAGGGAAACACTTTTATTTCCTCGCACACAGGATCCCCAGAGCTCAGCTCTTGCAAAAACCCCTGACAGCTGAGCAGCAACATCCTCACTGGCATCAGCAAAGCGTGACTGGGCTTAAGGAGCTACACCAGCCACCTAAAAGCCTTTCATAGCCACATTGCACAGGGGGGAACCTCCAAAACCCACAGAACCACAGAATATTCCGAGTTGGAAGGGGCCCACAAGGATCACCGAGTCCAACTCCCGGCCCTGCACAGGATGGCCCCAAGAACCCCACCAGGGCTGAGCATGTTTTTCAGTGGAGCTGCTGCACGAGGGGATGCTGCAGACACAGTGCTGGAGCCCAGCAATGTCAGCAGGGACACGGCCAGCTCAGCCCTTCCAGCCTCTGCCCGTGTCCGTGGCCGTTCACGCTCCGTGCTGACAGCCTTGTCCTGACATCCTCTCAGCAGGGCTCAGCCCCCCGGGGGCAGGTGGTTGTTGTGGCTCCAAAGGCCACCAGACTGTCACCACGCTGTCCCCATCAGCCTTCCCCTGGCACAGACACCGGGAATGTGGCTCTGTGCTCCCAGCAAACCTGCCCGGGATGCTCCGGGAGCGCTCCGGGCGCTGACCCCACAGAGGACACGAGATGTGCATGACTTGCACATCACAGATGCCCACGTGGCTCTGCTCATCCCCTCGGGGATGACATGCAGGACAGAGGCACGAACACAGCCAGCCTGGAAGCAGAGCTGTTTGCTCTCCCAGCTCATCTGCCCCCGAGCCCTGCTGTGCCACCCCGGTGGCCTCGTGCCTGGGGTCGCCTCCCCCCCTGCATTTTTGCCTCTTCTCTTGCTATTTATAAAGCTCAGCGTTAGTCACTGGATGGGTTGCCTCCTATCTCCAGCTTTTTTCTGCTTCAAGACCATCCCTACAAAATGAATCTTCCCCCCACACTGGCAGAAAAACTGACAGGACGGGACAGAAACTCTGAGAACGTGCAAAGTCAGATGTTATGTGAAGGTCTTGATCTCTGCCCTGAAGGTCCTCAGCACTGAGCATGTACAAGATGCTGGGGGATAGCTGCAGGATGTAAAAATCCTGCACAGCCTGTTAGCAGCTCCCCTGCCAAACCCCTTATTCCCCACACTGACAACCTTGAAGGCTACAGCAGTTACAAGAAATCCTCCACAAATTCATCTCAAAAGCATCTCTCCTGATTTCCACCTCTTCCCGCTTTGGTCGTGCAAGGCAGGAGGGCAGACAGAACCACCTCCAGCTGCAAAAGCTTTGGCCACCTATTTTATTTGTTCACTCACAAGAACTGGGTCAGGAACTCAAACACAAATGGTTCCAAAAAAAAAAACAACACAAAACCAAACCAAACCAAAACAAAAAAAAAAACAAACAAAAAAACCCAACCAAACAAAAAAAAACAAACAAAAAAAGCATTAACCCAAGTATCATTAGATTTAAGATTAGGAAGAAATTCTTCCCTGTGAGGGTGGGGAGGCCCTGGCACAGGTTGCCCAGAGAAGCTGTGGCTGCCCCTGGATCCCTGGAAGTGTCCAAGGCCAGGTTGGAGCAAAATGGGATGGTGGGAGTTGTCCCCATTCATGGCAAGAGGAGTTAGAGCTGAGAAGAGTTCTCAGCTCAGGGCTGTCACCAGGATCCCTGATTCTGCCTGTTCAGGATGCAACCATCCCTCTCAGGATGCTTATCCAAAGCTACTGGATAAAGGCCTGAACTTTGCTGCACAACCAGAGGTGGCAGAGGCACCAAAGCCTTTCCCAACAGCTTTGCTTTAGGTGCAAGTGCACTTCAGAGATGGACAGGGACCAGCAACCAACCCTTCTCCCCAAATTAAAACCCTGCCAGGAACACCAACACCCAGGGCACGTGCAAAAGCTCTCTGTTTGTTGCCTAATTCTGAAGAGCACCTGCCAACCTCCAGGCAGCAGCAGCTAATTCAGCACCTCCCAGGATTCCTGGCAGAGTTCAGGAGGGACACGAGTGTTTTCCATGCAAAGGCACAGCTGCCCACCAACACCATCAGCAGGAGGCACTGCTGGAAGGGTTGGAGAGCGGCAGAACCCACTGCACACAACCCAGAGGACACAAACTGCCAGCACAGGAAAATCCAGCTGAAAAGGTTCCACAGGGCACCAAGTAAAGCTGAACTCATATGGAGCCCAAAATTCCAGGCTGCTCCCTGTGAAAACAGTCAGGAGAAGCACAAGGAGAGAAACTCAACCTGAGCTTTTAAAAAGCTGTTGAATCACACGAGGCACAACCAACGAGCCCCAAATCATCCCCTCTCCTCCCTGAGGGTCAGGAACAGCTGCAGAAAACCCCACAAGGGAGAGGAAAGCACAAGCACAGCACCCACCCTCCCACCACGCCCTGAGGAGATGCAGGAGGAGCCCGAGGCACAAGATGCTGCTCCTGGTACCACCTGCCCAGAGATCCGAGCTCAGGGATTCCATACTCACTGCTCCTGCTGCCAGGACTGGGTTTAGGGGAGAGCCACCCTCCCAGTCACTGTTCCCATGACACCCCCAGCTCCCGAGGTGCAGAAAGCAGGGCTATGAATGATTCACAGCCCTGCTGGTTAGTGTTACACACGGCAATGCAAACAGGAAGAGAGACAACAGGCATCAATTATTCAAATCCAGCCACACTCACCGGGAGGGAGGGGGGAAAAAAAAAAGGGAATCAAATAAAAAACACAAACCCACACCAGCTCTCAACCTTGGCTTTATAAAGGTGCATCATCTGCCAATGGGCTTTTTGGAGCTGAACAAGTGAATCTGCCAGCTGGCCTGTTCAAAAAGGGGGAGCAGGGGAGATTCCGTCCGCAAGCACAATGGGAATATTTTCCAAAGGCTCCAGGATGCCTAATTAGCACACACTGCACTCCTGAGATCCTGAAGTGGAGGTATCTGTTACAGCCTGTGACACATTATTCCCTTCCAAACGGCTTCGGAGCAAAAGGGGGAGGGGGGGAAAGGAAGAGAAAACAAAAAAATAAAAGAAGGGAGAATTGAAGTTGCAAATTGAAAAGGGAAACTCTCTGGGGAGATCTGGCCTAAGAATTGGGATTTTTGTCTCTCTGAGTGTAACTCCCTGTATTCTCAGAGCAATACTCAGAAACCTGGAGTGGGGAGGGAAGGGAGCAATCAAGGCCAATCATGAAACCATCACATTTAGTGAAGGGGAGAGTCCTGGAGTGCACTGGGAAAATAATGGGAATGAAGCCATGGAATAGCAGGATAATAGCCTTTCCCAAGGCTTGGTACCCTCCAAGTCCTCCCCTCTAATCCCCCTTGAAGGTTTATTTCTTCCTATCAACAACAGTTTCAGGGAAGTCACACTGATCTCATTCAGCATCTTGGGACAAACCTCCTAATGGCCCAGACAAAGCCATTTCCTGGGATACTCTTGACAGCTCCACTCTGGATACACCCAGGGGTTGGTCAGGACAGATTTGGGGAGCTGGAAGGACACAGAAGAGCT